GCAGGAGCGTGCAGAGCTTCACAGCCCCCATGGCGCCATTGGCTGTTCCTCCTGCACTTTGCAGCAAGTGGGAGCACTCAAGGGCATGAGCAACAGTAGCTGGGGTGACCACATCTCCTCTGTGCCCCCCTTGCTCTAATTTGGTATCAAAGTGTCCAAAGGCAAGGGCAACATCAAAGATATTTTCCACTCCTGCTTAGTAAAGTGTAGGTAAGGATAAATACATTGAAGACGCAGCTGGCAAAAGAACATGGTTCTGCCTTTGGGTTATAAAAACAGACTCTTGAAAAGACGATTAAAACAAAATCTCAAGGCTGGGGAGCATGAACGTGTTACTGATAGTTTTTGCTACTGGTAGTGTTTAGAATTCAGTAATCTTCCAAAACAAAATAAATAAAAATAAAATAAAATGTCATTGTTTGCTTTTTGATTGAAATCAGATGTACAAGTAGTTCAGAAATTATGCTCTTAAATCTGCTTTCCGAAAGGGTACGGGCACACAGGGTCAGCGCCACCTGACTTAACAATAATCCTGGCAATGTCATTTGACTGCAAACCCCCTTAATCTGGAGCAAGAAGGCTGATATGTTGGACCTACACTTGAGATATTGAAGAATCAGGCTCTTGGACAGCTGGGGATTTAGGCAATGCTTTAATTGGTATGGATCAGTTACTAAATAAAATACTGAACTCAGCACAAAAGCTGGAGTGTGAAGTCAATAACAATAGATTGGGTTGGGAGGGGAGAAAGCAAGAGGTGTCAGCTTTCTAACACCAGAAAAATCTGGAAGGTTACTCCATGCAGTGAAATAGCTTCACGCATAGAATGCAGCCTGCATACCAGGAGGGTATTAATTTTTATAAGCAGAAGCAGAAGAAGAAATTCTTCTGATTAAACCTATGTGTAGAAAATGGAGAAAGGCTGTGGAGGCTCATCCGTTGGGGAATATCTTCCCCGAAAGGTCTGGGCAGGCCCAGCTGTGCCCCAGCACCTGGCACCCCACAAACTCCAAAAGAAACTGAAACCAGCCCCCCTACTGTGATATTGCAGGGGCTGGTTACAAAGTGAGGGGCTGCTCCTCAACCATTTGGGTGATGACATTTGGATTCCACTTGGCTGAGTTTCAAGCGCATGCACATATTGAAAATTACATCCCTCAGCAGCGGGATGAAGTTGCCATCTTGAATGGAAGAAGGTCTATTTATAATGACTTTGTAGATATTTTTAGGGGCCAAGAAAAGAAAAAAGCATGACAACTGGCGTATGTCTAATGTAACAAACAATACTGCATTGGTTTTGATTGGGAAGAACTGCATTTCAACATAGCACAGGTGCTCTCTCCCACATGCACAATGTGGTAACATCTACCCTATCCCTTACTGAATTAGCCAGGGGCTGAAGAAGCAAGGCTGCCATGTTATATCAAGGTCCCCATTTGTAACAACTATGGACATTTTCAAAATTGAAACCTAATAAATAAATAACAAATTGGGGTATAACTAAGGCTAAGAATATCCTAGTTCACTCTTTCTACAAGAGCTGGTCAGTCAGGATTTTCACTGAGAGCTTTCCATGGCAGAAGATTGTTCCTCTCCTCCCTAAAAAGTGCCTAGTATGTTCAGAAACACACGCAGGCACATCAATCATTGTGATTTAAGCTCTCTGATGTCTCAGAACAGCAGCAGAACAGATGCCCTGCTTGTCTCTCCCTACCATACTACTTCAGATACAGTAAATGTTCACAGTAAAATATGGACTAGTCCTGTTCTCAGTGAGGTCTGCATAGTCAAACTACTATTGATTGTGAAGGGAAGAAAATCAGATTCTCTCTGCTACGTGTATTAAGAGTAATTTATGACTTAAGAGCTATGAAATCCATACAACTTCATTAAAGTATATCACTTGTGAGCTCTGTTCATGCTTTTCCTTTGATGCTGGTGGTAAGATATAAAATAGCGTGTTCTTATATGCTGCCCTCAGAAATTAGGATTTATGGGAATACTGCATTGCCTTAAGCAGCAAGACATGTTGCATGGGTTGAGTGTTTCATCCGTGTTCACCACCTCAGAGAGGGAGTGCGATGATGAGGATTTCTCAGGAATACCAGGTTTGGAGTGTGACCATCATTTTCACTGGGCTGAGACACCATCCCTAGCATTTCTTCATCACCTTTTCTTATTTGCATCCTGCTTTTCTTTTACCGAGAGACTATCAATGAAATATAATCTCCTCCAGACCAACTGCATGTTGTCAGCTCTAGTCTCACCTACATCTGGAAGGAATGGAGCAGGTACCCACTGTATGCAGATGGAACTCTAAACCAGCAGAGACTCTGAAAAAGTCACCTCTGAGTGAATTATGTCACAGGACAAGCTGGCTGCACAGACCCCTCTCTGAGGCTGGGAAATGGCCTGAAGAAGACTTCAGCCTCTTCTCCTGGAGATATTCGTTGTTCTTAAAGCACATGATGCTGCCTTGACATACTGCCAGCTCCTGGAAGCGCTGCTGTAAGGATGTGGTTTTCGGTGTCTGGAGCACAGTTCACTTGGGCCTGTATGGGAGGTAAGGCCATCTTCGAAAGTGTCTTGCCTTCTTGGCCCGTGAATAATTAAGATACATAAGACAGGCAATTTACTTATTTATTTATAGGTTCTTTGGTGACACTTAGCACAGCAGTGCTGGAGTGGCAACAGCCTGAAATGTTAACGGGCCGCAGTGCAACCCTATCCCAGAGGCTGGCCTGTCCTGAGGAAACCTCTGTAGTGGGCAATGCCACGTGCGGACAGGGGACAGCAAGCACTCTCCTCCATCCCTGCCAACACCCCAGTGCCCCAGCCCACCTTTCCCAATGTGTGAGGGCTCTGGGGGCTGCAGAAAATAGGGTGGGGGAATCCTGTAGTGCTTGCTAAAAGCGTACGACTGGCAGTGAGGCCTTTTTAGTGTTCTCGATGAAATGGCAGCCAGTACATCTCTCCCCAGCAAGTGCAGAAATGGTGCTTTGTGAGTTCAGCCCATGTAAATAACCTTTTAAATCAGATTCTCTTATTTGTCTCTAAAACAAAACTTGGTCCTCATCAGTCTGGATATATGGTGAAGTGGGAACAAAATAGTTGTTCGCACACTTCATCTTTTGTGATTCTTTTTTCTTTCAAAGGAAGAGGAAAGGTTGAAGCACTGGAGATGCAGGATATGTTAATTTCTCTTCTCTACTGCTGAATTTATTACAGCGTCATAAACTGTATATATATATACAGCATCATAAGCTAAAAGGAATGTCTTCAGGAAGTCTTGGTATTCTCTTAAATCAAATGCTACTAACAAAAATGGCCCTTTTTGTTTAACGTATCTCCAAAGCAAGCAAGAAAGCACCTTGCAAAGCTGAGAAGAGAAAACATGCTAAAACAACAGTGTCTGAAGTAGCTGGTAGTAAGGAAATCCTTTTCATACGGATATTGTCATGCATGCTGCTATTCATAACAACACAGACCACCTGCTCCTGTTTCTGCCACATAACATCCCAGTGACAATCCCAGCAATTGCTTACATGGAAAAACGAATAGGAAAGTACTTATGTATTTTTAGCTATCTTTTTAAAACACAGTTCAGCAGCTGGAGAAAGATAAGAGAAACCAACACCATGTAGTCAGTCACTAACTGTGAAGATTAGAAAGGGTTATGCAGACCTCAGTTTCTGAACTTCTGAGGTAAAATATGAGGTTAAACACCAAGTGCTAATTCCGTGCTTAATTCTTTCACATCATTTCACTAAGAATTCCAGATTTGTGCCCATGCTGCTGGAACATCAGAACCTCCTTCATCCATTCCTACTGTTTACAGCTGCATGTAGCTTTTAAATGAATCATGGTTTTCTGGCTTTATTAAGAAAGACAAAGAGAAAACGAAAAGGCAAGAGAAATAAGAAGAGAAAAAGGAAAACAATAAAAAACAGAAAGAAAAAAAATAGCGATGAAAAGAGAAGGGAAAAGGGAAGGAGAAGGAAGGGAAGGGGAGAGGTATAGAGAGGAGAAAAAAAGAAAAAAGAAAAGGAAAAGAAAAGGAAAAGAAAAAGAAAAGGAAAAGGAAAAAAAGAAAAAGAGTAGTTGTAATGGTTTTATTTCCAGGGGTTCTGTTTCTCAGACTTGTGAAATGTATCAGAGCCTGACTGTTGACCTATTACAACTGCTTGAAGACCTCAGCCAAAAATTCAGATACTGATACAGCAACATATAATCTGTTCAGTCTAAAAATAAATTATGGCGTTTAGGAAATAGTGTAAGATTCATTTATTTACAAATATTTCAGCTAGTTGTATTGTTAAAAAAGTTTGCTCTGAAGACTGAAGAATGACAAAAGTACAGTTCAGAAATTTTGGACGCAGATGATTTTGCTTATCCTTAGGGGTATTTTTAGTGTTGGCTTTTCCTTTTCTGGAAGCTTGTAATGTAACAATACCTTGCACCACTGTGCTGATGCGAGGATCAGCGGTTCATTAAAGGATAATCCATGAGATAGTAGATTTACAAGTGTCACAGACACATTAGATTCGAGAACATGGTAAAACAGCAGTGGTGAAAGGATTGTCAAGTATACAGAGAATATCCCCATAAGTGGGCACTACCATTAGTTCTGCAAGAAAGCATTAGTTCTCAAAATTAATTTTGTGTGTGTAATTACTGCTCACAGCTGTTTAGAAAGTGGTATTATAGCAAGTTAGACTGAAATCAGTCAAAAGTTTTTATTGATTTTTTTCCATTTGAGATTATCTCACGGGCTTAGGCAGCAATATTTATATTCAAAAAATCCCTACATTTGTAAAAAAAACCCACAAACACTGTAAATACCTAGTTGTTCTTCAGTTATTCAGCTATCTTCACTTGCACACAATCTACATACATCCTTTCAGATTAACTCTCAGCTAATTCCTTCATCATTAAAGTCGGACAGTTATCTACAGGATTTGATATAGTCTTTATAGAAAGAGAAAATGGCAGAGACAGTTTTACTTTTCCTCCATGGACAGTCGGTAAAGGTTCTCGCCCAAGTACTCTAGCCTCTCTCTTTGCTCAAGATCCTGGTACATGCCCTTAGGAACCTTGCTCAGGCCGTACACCAGCCCATAGAGGCAGCCAGCAATAGATCCCGTCGCTGCACTTTCTCCTGCGGGTTCAAGCACAGATGCAAATTTCTCTTAGGGTCACCTTTAAGTACACAACTAAAGCCTGCAAAGCACAGGGGCAAAAGTACAAAGCCACTGATGGAAGGGACATGATGGCTGCGCTGCGTTAGTCCCAAAGGCTTGTAAGACCCCGTGTCTTCTCCCATGCCTAGGAAGGTAACACCAAGCCCACATACAGCAGTGCTTCCGTGATGTGTGCTTCTGAGCTACAGCTGGTCTCCATCTCCTGGCTCCCACGGTATCTTTTCCCACACATTCATCTGATCACTTTTAGAATGTATGTGGACTTTCAGGATTCACAGCATCCTTTCTCAGTGTTTGAAAGGAGCACCTCCTTTGATCTGTTTCAGAGTTTTCACCCACTCTTTGTACTTGGTACCCTCTAGTTCTAGTAGTGGAGGAGACTACATAAGGTCGCCAGAGACAGAGAGAGGTATGGCCAGCAGAGTGGACAAGATCATCCCTGACAGCACAGATTGACTGCTTATTTTGGCTGGGGAAAACCCATTGCAACCCAACAGCTCTTGCAAGCAGATAGCCATTATTAAGAAAAAGGGAGGGAAGAGTAACTGCAGCAGTCTCTGCCACATGGCAAACGCCATAGGATCATAGAATGGTTTGGTTGATTTTAAAGATTTTAAAGATCATCCAGTCTCAATCCATCAGTTCAGGCTGTCCAGGGCCCCATCCAACCTGGCCCTGAGCACCTCCAGGGATGGGGCATCATAGCTTCTCTGGGCAGCTGTGCCAGCACCTCACCACCTTCAATGGTTGGTGACATCTATGCTCTAGATTGGAGAGTGTGCCTAACAATACAGCAAAGCACTACATACGATTTAAACCATCCAACCATGTTAAGCAGCAACAATGAGCATTGCTGTGCCTGCAGGTTCTTGCTGACAGTGAGAGACTGTCAGCTTCCACCATTGTGACAGGGCAAAGGTGGACACAGATGTTTTTGTGCTGGGATCATTGCCCACATCTGCTCTGGCCCAGCAGTATGCAGATGACAGTAAGAATTACTTTGTGAAAAGCCATTAAAATAATGTATTGCATGCCTCTATGATTTATTTGCCTGGCACTTGATTGGGCACTGTACCATTTTTCTCCCTTACTTGACTTCACTATATGCAGTTAAAATGTGGCTTTGCCAAAGGTGCTAGTATTTTGGCAGGGGAAGATGCCAACCCTTTATAAAGTTATAGTAGATTTACTTTTCATTCAACTCTGGCAAAACCATGGGACTCAGATGAAGTAACGTTTGACAATGACTATAAACAGCTTGCACGGCAGCCGCTGCTAAAAGAATTTTTGATGGTCCAGGGAGGCTGTGGAGTCTCCTCTTTGGAGATCTCCAGAAGCTGCCCGGCCATGTCCCTGGGCGTCCTGCTCTGGGTGGCCCTGCTGGAGAGGGCTTGGAATAGATGGACCCAGAGATTCCTGCCCACCTCAGCCATCCCGTGGTTCTGTGATGGTGCAAAATCAGGGGATGTAAAAAAAATCAGTGGCACAACAGAGTGGTCAATAGCAGCCATTCGTGAGTGGGAGGTCGTGAAACACAATGGGGAAAGGAGGCTGGAAGCCGCGGCAGTGCCCTCACCTCCGTGGAACATGGAGCGGTTGCAGAGCTCTGTCCAGTCCCCGCCGCACCCCAGCAGGGCATCGTAGGCGATCATTGGGGCATCGTGGCCCCGTCTCCCGCCTCGACCTTCAGAACTCCATCTGCGGTATGTCTGCAAGACAGATGGAGGCATCAGGGTGGATCAGTGGAAAGGAGGATGTGCACTGCATCTTGCTTGCCTATCCTGTCCCTGTGTCCTAGGAGTCGCAAGAAGGCATTTGCTACTTGAGCTTTTCTCCACTTTTCACAGTGAGAAGATTGCTGGGCCCGTCAACAAGGGGAAGCATCCTGCCAACTGCTGACAATTTTGCATGGGTGTATTCAGCAAATGGGTATCTGCACTTTGTGCTGACAACTGAGTGCAAAACGACTTCTTTCATATTCTATCATAGGATCATAGAATGGCCTGGGTTGAAAAGGACCACGATGATCATCAAGTTTCAACCCCCTGCTATGTGCAGTGTTGCCAACAATTAGACCAGACTGCCCAGAGCCACATCCAGCCTGGCCCTGAATGCCTCCAGGGATCCACAACCTCCTTGGGCAACCTGTTCCAGTGTGTCACTGCCCTCTGTGTGAAAAAATTCCTTCTAGGCTCTGCTGCACTCCCAGTCTCCCTGCTGGGTGATCCCTACTGGAAGCAGCACATCTCTTCTAGGGACAGAGGCCACCATGCCCACAGCAAGGACAAGGCATTAGGAAGGATGCAGAGAAACTTGGCAGGCCAGGTACATGGTGAGCCAAGAATGCTAAGAAGTAGATCAAGACAAATTCTTATTTCACACCCTAAAAGTCCTTATTCTTTAAAAATTAGGGTTAGAGACGGTTTATATCATCAGTCCTCCTCTGCTTTGGGGAAATATTCTCAACTTCTCTTGCAACATGTATGCAAATGTTTCTATTTGCCAAGTTTTACGTGGAGGCTGAAGAAGCTCTGATTCAGTAATTTCTTTAGGGACTCAATTTCAGACTCCGTCAATGACTTTTTCATTCTGAGCCTTTCTCTCACCTTCCATTGAGCAGCAATGAAAAATACTTGCAAGCAGAAGAAACATTTCTTCCCCAAGAGAAGAAAGAAGGGAAAAAAATTAAAAAGACCACAGCGAGGTTTGCAAAGACAGCTGAATTTTCTCTAGAGAAGTTGAAGAGAACTGCCCAAAATCTCTTAATGAACTCAAGACTCCAATTAATTTATATTAAAATCATAATTTTCCCTTAACAGGAAATGGCAGCTGTAGTTCCTGGAGCTTTAGTTGCATCATGATAAGTTAGCTTCAGCTGTTTTCCTTTCACATGGCTTCTATAATGTGTATGAAGGTAAGCACATATATCTACTCACTTCCACCTCCGCCAGTATATACTTAGTGATGGTTTATCTGCACGGACGTTAAACTGGGTAATCCAGCTTCACTTCGTTCTCTTTTTTTTCAGACTAGAGACAGCAGCTGCTTACTCTACTCTCTGACATGAGCAAACTTTATAGCCTTATTCCTGCAGTTTCCATTCTGGCGGAGCAGCAAGGCCACAGGTGCAGCACTACCAATGCAAGTGCACTGACTGTGGAAGCGCTATTCTGGGCCAGCAAGCCAGCGTCTCAAGTTTCTCTCCATTTAGCCCACACTATCACTGATGTTCTGAGCACATCTGCTGTCACCTCGCTTTGCTGGGAATTCCTTACTTGAGGGAGAGTGCTCCTTGGGATTGATCTGCTCCAAGACAGTTTCTCAAGCTTTTCAAAAGGGCAGAACATTACACCCTGGTGCAGCTCTGTGATTTGGCGGCAGCCCATCTTCCCTGGGCAAGGGCAGGTGAGGACCAGCAGTGGGGATGAGTGCAGGTGTACCCATGCTGTCCCTCATGCTGAGAGAGAGAACTGGGCTCCTTACAAGCCCTCGAGGCAATTCCCACATCTCCTCCTTGCTACCAACCCCTGGTAGGTTGGTCATTACAGCCACCTCCTACCAACATCTGATCACCCAGCTCATACTTATACATTCAAGAAGAGGTAATTTGGATTTTTTTCCCCTACATTTCTAGTTATCTCCAAATTTGTACCTATCTGTCTATACAGAATGTGATCTTTGCTGTTTAGCAATCAAAGCTCACTTTTTTTCTAAAGGGAAATTGCCTTTGCAATATACTCAGATTGGTCCATTCCACATTTGAGCGCTTCTCTTTCACATCTACTCCAGCTGTGTCCTCAGAATGGGGCCTCTTCACATGCCCATGAGACCTGCTGCCAGAAGGGCTACCAGCTATTTGCAGTTTATTCACTGCCTGCAGAAAGGCCATCTGCCTGCTACATCTCTAGACACAAAATGGTTGGGAGGGAGTGAAAACTAAAGCAGTCCTGGATAAAAGGCAGGCAAGACAGTTGTCTTCCTGCTTATTCTTTCCATGGCTATAATAAACATGCTCAGTTTGTGAGCAAAATGAAACTTCTGCCAAATGTGATTGCTGTTTGTCGGTACAGTCTGAGGGTCAAGCAACATTTCCTTTCCTGTGCATCAAAATGAATAGCATAGTAGGTCAAATTAGTTGGGTTAGGCTCATGAAGATAAGTTTTGTTTCTGCTCTGGGAATTCATTCAGTTCCCTCTTGAAAATGATCCTGGGGAAATACCGATCAGTTTCATCTCTCATAAAACCCCGCACAGACTGCAGCAGAACTTGAAGGAACAAAAAACTAGTAACAAGTTTGTAGCGCTGAATCAATAAAATAAAAAGGGAAGATTTAGTATTTACATTTAAAGCATTTTTTTTCACTACCCAGAGTCAATCTGGCTTCCACTGGCACTTTTCACTGCAGAAACAAACATCTAAATATATACGAAGCGTCTTCTCAGAATAGAGCGGTGTTTTTATACTCTGGAAAAAGGGATTGATTTATGGGAAGGGTGACAAGGACTACATACTTAGTTCTTAGCTGCTAAGTGGAGAACATTGAGAGGTGCCAGCAAGTATCAGAGTTGTAAACACCAGGGAAGAGGAGTCATTATTTATCTTGAGTTAAGAAGTTATAACCTGTATTAATAAGGCAAAAGAAAGATCACAGATACTGTAAAACAGTACCACATAAAACATGGTAAAAAAACCTCTTGAGACATTAAAACTAGCGCTGGGGCACTGCAGGTATTTGCAGGTCAGTGCTTAGGAGGGCTGTCTTCTGTTCTAAGGACCTTAGAAACATTAACCCAGCTCCATTAGGAGGCATTTCTGTGGGGCTTGGGCACAGCTCCATTAGGATTCAAGGAGAGCCTCCAGCCTCTCCTTAGCTGTCTTTTCTACCACAAATAGCTGTGGCTGACAGGGATTCATTTACAAGCTTTATACCCATGCTGAGCATCACCACATCTGACATTAGGACTTCCTCTCCCATTGTAGAAAACCTTTAGCACCTCAGGACTGACTGCAGCTACTTTTTCCACTAACAAGTACCCACACCAAGGATGGGAGTTCTTTACAGTTTCTTAAAATTTTAGAAGAAAGTCAAGACTTTCTCTCTGCACTGTAAAACATTTGTAAAGTATTGGTGTGTCCCACCAACAGCAAAAACCTTTCTGGGCGCTATCTGAAGTCATGGTTACCTTTTCTCTCTCCTCCGCATCGTAGTTGTCTGGAAAGACGGCTTTGTTCTGGTTCTCCTCATTGATTTCTCTCTCCTCCAAGTAAAACTGCCACTTGGCTTCAAAGTAAAACCAGTGCTCCTGGTATTCTGAACGCAAAAGAAATTCACGATGTAGTATTTCGTCTTGGCAACATTTTCATTTCTACTTCAATAGCTTCTCAAGAAAATGATTGTATTGACTCATCTGAAAACCTGGGTGTTTTGCGGGAACATACGTTAAACAGGCAGATACGCTAAGTATGCATTTTAATATGAGGTGGAACATCCAACTGGAAACTGCAGATGTTAAAAGGAAGAAAGTATTTTCAGAATCTCGTGCTATTTTTACGACATATTAAAATGACATTAAGAGGCATCAAGGTGAGATTTGGAGAGCTTACTTAGAAACAGTCTAAGAAAAAGGTAAAAGTCAATGAATTAGAGAGAAAATGTCAGTTCTGTGCCAATTTTTGTACTGTTTTGCTGTGATTAAAGAATATCTAAAAATACTTACATGCCTGAAGTACAAATACTTCCCACCTCAGTTTTTTATTCGTACATTTTCTCCAGAATTTCTGTTCATGACTGATCTTTCAGGAAAGAGTAGATGGGAAAGACCAAAATTTCCATTTGGGTACATTATATTATTATATATATATAATATTATATATACATAATATATATATAAAATTATATATATATAATCCTTATTAAATGTAGCAAAAAAGAATAAACAACACACATGTCTTTGCCCATACAAATGAGCCAGTTGTAATAACCATAGGCCTTTCTCCTTTTTAATGTAACTTTTAATGAAAAGGCAGATGAGAGTCAGGAATTAAAAATCAGTGAGATATACATGGCTGCTAAGTGTGCCAAGGCAAACTGGGGATTCAGTGTGGGACTACTTGTGTATGGCTTAAAATATGATCAATTCTTGCTGCTTTCTCCCTGATTCTGCCCTTTTTGGTCACTCCGTGCTGTAACTGAGGAGCATACACACAATTGAACCAGTTTTCTGAAGGATGTAACCTACAAAGAAAGGCTGTGAGTTGGGGCTGTTCAGCTTGCAGAAGAGAAACCTCCAGGGAGGCCTTATTTTGGCCTTTCCATATTTAAAAAGGGCCTAATAAAGACAGAGACCTTTTACACGGACATCTAGTGACAGGACAAGGGATGATAGTTTTAAAACAGAATTTAAACTGATTTTGGATAGACATGAGGAAAAAAATTCTTCACTGTGACAGCAATGAGGCGCTGGCACAGCTGCCCAGAGAAGCTGTGGTGCCCCATCTCTGGAGGTGCTCAAGGCCAGGTTGAACAGGGCCCTGGGCAGCCTGAGCTGGGGGGGGGGAAGCCTTGCCCATGGCAGGGGTTGGGGCTGGTTGGGCTGTGAGGTCCCTTCCAACCCAAACCATTGTGTGATTCTATGATTTTTCTTCTTTTCCTAAAAGGCTGCACAGGTTTTTCTCTTAGCTAATTCAGATCTTTAAAGCAGTTAAACGCCATGTAAACAAAACCATGCTGCCTTGTATGATCCAATACCTCCAAGAGGTGGTAGATCAGCAGCCACATGGCCCCATATATGTGGGAATGTACATCTGCCCTTCTTCTGTGCCTGTTTTACCTGATTACAAGGAAGCTAGCTGTCAGAATTCTAATAAATGAGCCATTCAGAAGAATGAAAAAGCACACAGCCATTAGGCCAGAGTGTATTTCAAGGGAAAAAATACATCCCATGAAGATTAACCTTATTGGTTGAAGAAAACTACCAAAGCCCATCCCACTAGTTGGTTCCAAAATTGCTTTTAAATATACAAATGAGTTTGACAGGTTGTGTTGTATTTTAAAGCATATTTTCTACTGTCCTTTTTCCCCCATGTACATAAAGCATCAAAATGTCATGGATGACTATTTTCTGTATAGTATCTCAATAAGCAAGGAAGAGTGATTATTCAATGCATGGGCTCAGAAGCAAAGGGGGAAAGGAGAGGCAGGAGATTTTGGTTGCATGGACAGCCTGTAGCACAGTCAGGTACCCCATCCACCAGCCACAATGAGGCTCTGGCCCATTTCTTGAGCCCGGATGAAGGCTACAGTCACGGATCCATGGGCTGTCTGAAGAGTAAATGTAACTGAGTAACAGAGAGGGGTGTTGAATCTAACCCTCCATGTCTGAACATCATGTTTGCTATCCAAGGAGGGTAAAGCAGCCAAGAAGTGTTTTCTAAAACAGGAGGACTCTGTTTGGCAGGACATCTTTGCAGTGCATCTCACCAGGCAAGGAGCTTATCTTTAATGCAGAAGAATCTTGCTACCAAAATAGGACAAAGCTCAACAATACGGACATTGCCCGCACAGCATGCCTCAGGAGTCCAACACACATACCTCCATGCAGAGGGGTCCTGCTCTGGTGGAGTGACAGGAACCTGCTGGAAAGTCATTCAAAGAGGATCTCACTCACACTAATCCTGCACCTGCTCCTCATAGGTCTGGTCTAAAAAAATCTTAGTGTGCAATGAGACGCGGGTGAAAACACAGTGTTTTTCAGGCAGGCTCCCTGCTTCTTTCAGGTTTTAAAGCAGCAGCCTTCTTTCCCAGATAGATCTTCATTTCTGAGTGTACTTGAGTAATTTTTTCCATAGAATTCAGTCTTTCTCAACGGTTGTCCCTTGAGATTAACAGGATAATCTCTTTCCTCAGTGTTTTCAGGCAATTATACTCATCCATCCACAGCAGGTCTCACTGTTGCAAATGCATCACTCCCCGGTAAGAAGGAACTAAAGTACATCTGTCCTGAAGACCACATACATCAGTGATGAAACAATATCAAGTTTGGCAGCTGTGGGCCGCTCACTTATTTTAAAACAAAGATACGAGGCGTTGTGTTTTAAATATTTGTTCAGAACAGCTATGAGTCAAATCTGCATCTGTAGTCAAAAGCTAACACTTTGTCAAGAGGTGCCTGCAAGTGAACTTCTCCTAGCAAAATGAGTAAAAAGGCAGTGGATTTTCTTATGGAAGATACTGGACTATGTTAATGGATGGAAAGAGCTGAGTAATTTATATTTCAGTGATATGCTTGCCTAACAACCTGCTAATTAATAAGTCTTCCTTCTTTCCCTCTCAGCAATCTTTGAATATTTCCTAAAGATAAAACTGTACAGAGTGGTCTTATCACTGCTATTTTCTTTGCATTTATTTGTCATCAGTATACTGGACACCTAACAGATGGTACGAGAGGAGGGCACCACCTGCAAAGAGCTTATAGTCCAAGTGGACTCTGCAAGAGGACAGTCTGAAGGGTTGCAAGGTGAGGGGAGAGCAGCAAGAATGGTGAAAGTGGGCATTTATTTGGAATCTTGCTAGCTGAACACACCTTTAAGAAAATAACTCTTGGTTCAGACATTACCTGCCATGTGACGAATGGTCTTCTTGCAGTATTCCTCTGCCATCGGCACAACTTTCATCATTTCTCTTCCCCACTGCACCAGGGGCTTCCCTTGTATTGCGTACGCCACAAAGAGAGCTGTGCACAGGGAGCCTAGAAAGCCTGGAAATAATAGATAAATATAATTACTACCATGTGATCTCTACTTGTGCTGTTCTTGTCATGTCCCTGGTAAAATCACTAGGATGCCTCGTCTTTTGGGTAGATTAACAAATGCACATAACCTACCGCTGTCTGTTTTCTGGCTGGCTCTTGGCATATGGAGATATGCTAATATCAGCTAACACGTGGTTCCCAGTGGTTTATGACTTACTTTGTACAGAAGGGAGATTCTGTTGTCAGTGGTGTAACTCGACAGAAATTGAGGTAGGGCTCGAAAATAAACATCATCCACTAAAGAGGGTGGTGACGCACTGGAACAGGTTGCCCAAGGAGGTTGTGGATGCCCTGTCCCTGGATGCATTCAAAGCAAGGCTGGATGTGGCTCTGGGCAGCCTGATGTAGTGGTTGGTGACCCTGCCCATGGCAGGGGGGTTGAAACTACATGATCTTTGAGATCCTTTTCAACCCAGATCATTCTTTGATTCTATGATTATGATGATTTGATACAGAATATTTTCTAATTGAAGTCAAATGGAATAAAGGACTTGTGCAAAAGTATTCACTTAAAAGTTATGTCATTTTGCATATGGAGTCATTCAGCTCAGTGGAACAGTGGATCTCACACTATTTCTGGCTTATTTTACTCTAGGTGGACAAGTCCATTTTATCTAGTTAGATCCATTATTTTCTTTTTTTCAGTTGTCTGAGTAAGACATTGTCCACATGCCCTTGTAAGTACAGGCATCCCCTTTGGATACAAATATATTTGAAGAGAACTTTCTATTAATGGGCACTTAAATCCTCTATGATGTCAGAAACAGACAAACTTGTTTCTCATATTTTCTTGTGATCTTGGCATTCTGTCAAATGCAAAAAAGCCAATCCAGGGCAAAAGAAGGTTAACAAAACAACTCTATCATTCAGACAAGCATTGGGTGAGCAGAGTATTGTTGCTTCACAGTGTGCTTCACTGAGTGCATAATTCAGAAAGCATTTTTTCATGCACAGAGGTAATAATGAAATTGGTGTGTTCTTCTGAAGGCAAACATAAATTATTTTAGGAGGTTACAACTCCAGAGCAGATGATTTCTGCTTCTCTCTACGATAAAACCTTCAATACCAGGTCAGGCCAAAGTCACATCTAATAGATGTTTTCAGAATCTGAAACAAAACAAAATAGGCAGAGACAGCAAAAATGGTCTCACTTGGACAGACAGCATCTATCCAAGCTTCCACAGAGATCCTTAAAAGTGTCACACTCAGCATGAGGTGGCTGCAGAGGGTTTTGTGGGCAAAGCCAGGGACCAAGATGGGGAGTCAGTCCTGTATGCGTCCTGACTGACATCTCAGTTGGGTTTTTCCAGTCTCTGACTGAAGAGATTCACAGCTCAACCTTCCTAGATACCTTTTAGGATGTTAGTGATGTTTGTCATGCCCCTTCCACCCCTCTTCTCACTGTCCCTTCTCTCCCCCTCTCTCCCCCCCATGCCACTTGTCTCCTTTTCAGCAGGAAAATCCTTCTGGACTTAATTTCTCCTCATGCAGAAGGCATTTGATACTCCTTACTCCTGGCTCAAGTTAAGTCCTTTTTTGAAGTGGGATACCTAGACCTACAACCAGACTTGTTGCTAATGAGCCATAGATGTTGCATGTTTCCTCAAAAATATTCTCTACTTTGCTTTCAATACTTTTCCTTTAATTTTATGCCATCCTGATGGCTTTTCTGACTGCTTCAGAGCACTGAGCATGTTGAACTCGTCACTTTTCATTATAGTTTTATTTATTGCTCTTTAAAGCAGACTGAATGAATACGTGCTTAAGCAGCATGAAACTATCAGATTGACAGTCCTGGATATTCAGAGCAACATTAAATCTAATTATTTATGTTTTGTTTAGATAATAATTCAGACTGTGTCCTGAATGTATGGGATTAGAACTTTTTTGGCTTTCTACCCTTACCTGCAGCAATCGGATGTGACAAGACCTGTCAACAGAAAAATGTTGTTATCCTCTGAACCATAAGCTCACCCTGTAACAGTGAGTCATCCAGATGTACACAAATCCTGAGATTTGATCAGGGCAAGTGACATGAATGTGCTTTGGATGAGACAGGGTGTGTTTAGTCATTGGGATTTTAGGAAGGAGCACTCCTATGCTTGAGACTGCTGTTTGTATAATACACAAGCCTGTATATAAGCTTGTATGCATACATATACATATGCAGCCTGAGCAAAACTCAAACCTAGGCCTTGGAGTCTGCAAACCAAAAGCTGCTCAACCAAGTGGCTTCACAGGAGCTGTGTTAGTTGTCTCAGAAGTTAAAAGCAGCTGTGGGCACTTCATAGAAAAAATACATCTGCAGATATTACCTGTAGGGTGGTTGTGAGTCATTCGTCCACACTCAATGCTCACTTCAATAAGTGACTCCAGCCTCTCTGGCTTCCAGTAACGCATCCCTAAGCACATTGCTTTTGTAGATGCTCCAAAGCCAGAACCTAAAGCAAAACAACAATGCTAAGCACTTAAAAAGAGATTGTTGATGCATAAATATGTTGATTCAATCAGAAACAAGTGCATTCTATTATTTCAGCACCTCTGTAGGAGCTCTCCAGGAAGCAGGAAAACAGCATGCAAGCAGAGTTATGTATTTTGAAAGGAACAAGTTTGAATGTTTTGAAAGTTTCATGCATGTAATTTTGCCAATTTATTCTAATACTAGTCGATTCCAGTATATTCTGCCAGTATATTCCAGTATTTTTGAGTGCTACAAAGAGCATAGCAGGTATCAAAGAGCAGCATGCTCTCCTGTTACCAGTGTTTGATTCCAACTCTCATGTCACTTTTACTGATCCTTGGCTGACACCTCTCTTTTCTTGCTTCAGATGCCAGCAGTGGAAACAGCACTCTGCCAAACAGGTACACTTTTAGTATGTCCTTATTTTAGTAGTTATCATGCTGAGAGTACATTACTAAAACTCTTTCTATGACTGTCACAGCTAATCTTACAGTGTTATTATGCGGATCCTTCTGGAGAGCCCCACAGGTAGCTCACAAAATAGCTTCTATTTCTTGATAAAATTATGTGTCTCAAAAACAGGGTACAGAGCCAAATCCTTAAAAGTTAGAATTCAGAACTGAGGTTTCCTGTGCAAACTGGTGCCAGTGCTTTTGCACGTACTCATCATGATGCTGCCTGAATTTACTGAGCTTTTTGTTGGGAATTTCTGCCTCATGCAGTGCAGAGATTATGTGTTGATAATCTGGTCTTTCTTTCAATCCTCAGTACTGAGAATATGATTCCAGGTGTTCATCTTTTAAACAGTTTGCTGAATGCAGAGCTAAATTTACTGATTATTTTCTCTCCAGTACTTATCACAGCACTATCAGGATCCCACTGAAGTTTTAATGAGCTTATCTTCACAAGATACCAGTGAGGTGATTATCTCCTCTTCACAGCTGGTGAGCCGGTGCCCTAAAAAGAATTTTCTCATTGCAGGCACTCATTTCAAGATGGATAGAGTTCGATTTTTCAAAGTACTTAGCATGTCTTCAGCACTGCCTTCACTCACTCACACTTCCCAGAACCTTGGGTATTGGTGAGAGCAATTAGCGTTTCCCTACGTGGCCCCTGGTAGATAAGGGGAAATATTTATGCCACCTAATTTTAGCATGTGTGGGACCTACATTAGAAGCACATTCTTCCTGTCTTTCCCAGACAGGCAGCAAGGAAATACATTGTCTCTGTTAGCAAGTATAATGGCACAAGAGGAGCAATCCACAGGGCACAATGAAACAGCAGATGCCAAGGAGCCAAGGCCAGTAGTAGAGAACTGCTTTCCTTTCATTCTCAACCCAAAGGACTGCTGCTTGTGTGCTCTAAGATCATGAGCACAATCAAAGTGTGAGTGATAGTAGAGGGAGCATAAAGTTACCTGCCCAATCCAAACTAAAACATTAACTCAAGACACCCATTAGCATCTCCAGATGTAACACAGACCAACTAGGACCTGAATTATTCTCTAGAATGGCCTTGCTTTCTTCCCAGGCAGCAACTCTCCTGAGCGGGCACCCAGGTGAAGTAATCTGACAAGGTTAGATCCACTCTGCCATTGGGCAACAGAGAGTAAGAATAACAATTACGATAAAAATGATAATAAGAAAGAGTGAAAGAAAATTATAACAGTGTGGTCCCTTTATACTAACTAAACTGCTGACAATTTGGTTCCCTGGTTCAGGAGTCAGCTGCTGCTTCATTTCTCTGCTTAGAGCTCTTGAAGAATTTTCTCTGAGTGAATTTGACAAGCTATTTTTTTGAACGCATAGGAATGTCATCACCTGCACGTTCCCATTGAAAAGAGTTGCACAACTTAATTAGTTGCTACATTTAAGTTCTCCCTTTTACTTGGTTGGAATTCATGACTGGTTGGTTTCATCTGAAATGCCTAGTTTTGTTCTGGAGGAGACAGTGAGTTTTCTCTACCCATATTAATGTTCTCCATCCAATTTATAATTTTACTGATCTACCTCAGACATTAGTAGCTATGAAAGCTGTTGAATGCATTGGAAATCCAAACAGACTTCATGCATCAGACATCTTCAGACATCTCCTTTGACCTCTGGTTTCTTGACTATTTCATGGGCTTTCTAACAGATTTATGAGAAGTAACTTTTTCTCTACAATTCTCTCTCCGCAGGAGCTTACTGTATCATCTCCATTCATGCAGTGCATTATTCTTTGTTAGGATGGAAGACCTCAGTGGGTTTTTCCTCACTCTACATATGTAGAATAATGAAGATCAGATTAATGGCTACTAAGCTCTGAAGAGGACACATCCTTTGTGACTATGGTTTGTTCTTCATGAAAGCTCAGAACTCAACCCCTTTCCTTTACGTCCATCTGCAGCTTATCCTTCTCTTCATTTTTGGTCTCCAACTTTCTGCCTTTATCTAAAACTTTTTCCTTATCAGTCCTTATCAATGCCATAATGTGGATATAAGCTCTTATAACAGAAGCTGTTGGACAGACTTGGGCAGTTCTCTTGATGGCCATAGGAATTCCATCACCCTGTAACATAATTTGAGTAATTTGCTCTTCAGTGAGCATGCCAATGAATGTGGCTGTAGGTGGGAAAGAGACACATAGGGCAGTTTGATGTAAGAGGTTGCTGTACTGACTATACACACACAAAGCTGAGTAGAAGATCTTTACATGAGCAGTTTGAAATTATCTAAGCTCCAATTTTACTGTTCCATGAAGGCTAGCATACGAACTTCGAAAGAAGTTGGATGACATAAAATGAACACCAGGAAAGATCATTTTGCTACCAGATCATTCAAGATATCACCTGACATTGAGCAACATAGATTTTTCTTGCCTCAAGTGGAAGTTTGTGGAAATTAAAAGTGAAAGTAAATTATCTATGAGATTCTGAACATCTCAGAGTGATATTTGTGGTACCAGATGGAGACAGTGCATTATAGATGCTGGATCTGAAGGAATTCATTTTAGACAATTCTAGCCCAGAGCATCCTAAGAGCAAATCTTCAGCCATGGAAAGCTGGGGAGGAAGAAGGCTGAAAAGCAAAACAGCAGCAGGCCGGCGAACAGCTGCGTCCTGCTGCTGGAGGTGTCAAGAGCTGCTCAGGGCCAGCAGCAGCTCCCACTGTTATTTTGACTGAGTTTTACTCACTGTCAGTCAGAAAGCACAGGACGACCGCTAAAGGGGCACTGTCTCAGATCCTGCCCAGCGTATGGCTGCTGGGCAGAGTAAAGCAGAGGGGAGCCTTCCCGACCCAGCGGCTATGGTAGTGACAGGGGCTCAGTGAGACCCTTTTTGTGTCAAATAAAACTGCCTGCAGAGATCCAGAAATAGCTGAGGCATGGTGCCACTGTGTTTTTGTCACAGTGTTGCATCAACATACAGTGCTGTTGAGCAGTGTCTGTACATACCACGGCAGTACTGCGTCACACTGACACGGTGCAACACCTGTGTGGGCAGCCATGGCTGCTGCCATGATTAGTGGCACTGCTCGGGTCTACGAGTGTACACAGCTGCATGTGTGCTAAATAGCTGCAAGAAGAAATTCTATTCATCATAAAATGACATGACTGCAAAGAGAAAGTAAGGGTGTTGGGAAGGGAAACGGTGCTGGGAATATTTGGGATTATCAGTTAAACAGCTGTAGTTCCTGGCATTACATCCTCCTGAAGAAAAGTAACGTTATGACTGAAAAGATTTGCATCTACAAACATTTAAATGATTAAAAAAAAAAAAAAAGCAGAAAATATTTCTTAAAATAACCATTAAACTCAAGGACAAAGACCTGGACCCAGAGGCACGGAGCCAAGGACAGAGACTCTTTAAATAGATGCTAAATGGGGTAGGGTGCATTTACGAGAGGACACAGTGCCCTAGAGCAGGAATTCCTGGCAGACCTCTTGCCATCCCCAGGCAAACATGGAAATATTTCAGAAGTAGTAACTTTTGACGTCAGGGAGAAAAACAAAGCAATATTCCCATAGCCCCAAATCTTGAAGGCAGGTGTTACCCAAGCCAGCGGCTATGAATATAAAGCAGTACGTTACCCTTTTCATTGAATGGAGTGTGCCATGCCAGAAGGTAATTATCTGGCTTCAGCTCCCGGCAGCCCTCAATGGTTGCAGGGTCTGGCCGCCTCCCTGAGAGCTTGTCCACAGCATCCACATAGCGCTTCACTAGCTCCCGGTACAGGTCCTCCAAACACCAGTAATCTGCTCAGAAGAGGAGCAAAGGCTGTCACATGAATGCTTAATAATGAGAGGGCACTGACAACAAACACAGAAGGCTAGTGATGCAATTAATATATGTTCCTGTTTCTGTTTCCAGTACATGGAGGCATGGCGTCGGTGCTACTATGAACGGTTTTGCAAACGATGAGAGCAGGCTGGAGAGAAAACACACCTGTCTCTCTGTTCTTAACTTTTCCCACTTTTCTTTTCACTTTTAATTCCTAGAACTGAACAGACTGAGGGGTTCTTCTCCCTGCAGCAGCTGCTGGGGGGTTTTCTCTTGCCTCGGGTGTGCAGTGCTGCCCAGGCATCGCTGTGTGTACCCACTGCCTTGGTGCCAGCTTCTCCCACCTCGGCCCACGTCCATGCTCATCTACAGCCTTAAAGTCTTGCCCAAGGAATCTCTGCTGCACTGAACCTACAGTGTTTCTACAACTGCTGCTTTGTGCTGCTGACGCCCTGGTTTGCACTGAGGTGGAGCCTTCACTGAATCTTACAAGTTCATAGCCAGTGTGAACAGAGGAGGCTGCCAGTCAGCTCTAAGTTTTCTGTATACTCAATGAGCGCTCTGAAATGTGGTTTGACTATGGATCAAACGATCCCCCAAATCAAACTGCCCCGTCCCTGGAGGTGTTCAAGGCCAGGTTGGATGGGGCCCTGGGCAGCCTGGTCTAGCATTAAATGGGGAGGTTGGTGGCCCTGCCTGTGGTGGGGGGGTTGGAGATTTGTGATCCTTGAGGTCCCTTCCAACCCGGGCCATTCTGTGATTCTGTGAAACAGCACCAGGGGAAGTTTTAAAAATGTCTTCATTTCATCGAATATTGGTGATTTCTTGAAATCTACAGGAGCATTTAAATTTGGGAATAAATTTGGAACCCCACCAGCCACAGATTCTCTAAAGTGACATTTTTGTGGGCAGACAAATAAAAAAGATGCAGAGCAAAATGAAATTTCCCTTCCTTTTATAAGAAAAAAGCCCTATCAATTACACTGGCCATCTCACATACAGTCCTGGAGGAGCAGGATGCTTTCAAACTGCCAACTATTTCCAGATTTAGGAATCAGATGTCAGTTTATGAGGACGTGAGCCAAGAGCAGGATTTACCACCCAGCACCTCCTCCAGGAGCCCTGACCCCAGAGCCAGGGTCCTGAGCCCACCATGAGGCCTCAGCAGGCTGATGGAACAGGCTCTTTCTTTAAGTGGGAACACTCCATGGCTTTAAACTAGAAGGGGAGATTTAGGTTAGATGTTGGGCGAAAATGCTTTATTCAGAGAGCAGCAAAGCGCTGGCACAGCTGCCCAGAGAAGCCATGGGTGCCCCATCACCAGAGGCATTCGAGGCCAGGTTGGATGGGGCCTTCTGCTCCCACAGGGGGTGAGGCCGGCTACCCCAGCAGATTGCTGTGTCCTCTCTGCAAGGAGAAGATGTCTGCAGGAGGGGCGGCCCTGCCTCCCTTCTGGGAAGCAGAGGAAAGGACTTGATTTCCCCCATTTATGAATGTTGTCTGAAAGGAAGATTTCTGACTAAAATTCCCTTCTCCTGCTTTTTGTTTTCTCACCAGCCTATAGCAGCATCTTTTTAAAGCCCGTCTGATCAGGGACAAAGAAATAAGAGCATGAGATAAGCATAGGTGATGAAAATTAGTGAGACCTTTCTTTCTTCAAAGAGGGCAGTGCTCCTGCAACATGCAAGATTTATTACTATACTCATAGTCCAACCGGCTCGACTGTTCAGAAGTTATGGTTTTGGACAGTTCAACGAGCAGGAAACATATGATATGTATTTAATCATAGCCTATATTCAGAAATATGTTAGTCATCTTTGTTCTTGATTGGCTGACATCTTGCCCTTATCTTTAGTGTATTAGCTACCCCTTAAACCATTGGCCTGCTAACAGCCAGGCATAAAGTGTCCGCCACACTCTTCAACTGATCTCTGCACGCTAAATTTAGAGCACATTAGAAGCAAGCAGAGATAAAGCAACGAAGCAGACACACATTCATTGACTATAACAATACTCAGCTTCACTGTTGGGTTCTGCTGCTAGTAGTTATCCAGTGCTACACGTGTTAAGGGAAATCGGTTTTAAAAATTTGTTTCATTTGGAGGAGACAAAATGTTGCTGAAAGGCAGCTGTCTTGTGAAGAATTTCTGGTGACAACCCAGATGGTCTCAGAAAGCCTTGGTTCATTGGATAGGGTGTTGATAAAAATATCGCTTACTCTGACAAACAGTACTACCTTATAAAAAAAAAGGTTTCCTCTCAAACTGCTGTGCTTTTAGAAGACATATTAATAACTTTCACCATTGGGATATATTTTATTATCATCATATTTTAGAATATTGTTTGGATTAAAGGTGCAGAGCTCTCTCTACAAAGCAGCTTGCTCCTCTGCTGCCATTGCATTTTAGGCAGGACAAGATATCAAGGGTACTTCACCCCCGCCTGGAGCATGAAGCACAAACATGTTCGAAATGCACTCATGAAAGCTCTGATCTTTTATGGAAGAATTTCAGACAGGTTTCTTTCTAGTGGCTGTACCAATCCCTGGTGTATATAGCATACAGATCATCTACTTAACTACTCTACCAGTTGTTTTGTTGCTCTTGACTTGCAGCATTTCGAGTCGTTAAGCTTTAGCCAGCTTTATAAAATGAGGGGAAGCACAGAGAGAGCCCCTCCACACGAAAGAAATCACAGCTCCTCAGCTGGGGCGGTGGCCACAGGACCATGCTCATGGAAGAGATGAACTAAACATCATCATTCACATCAACAGCATTTCTGACACACTTTTTTCCAACTCGGGCTTATTGTAAGAAAAAGCAGCAATTCTACAGCTTTGTTTCTTTCCAGACTGCAGATCCAAATCCATCTTACCTACCTGTGATGACAGCCTCTGCTGTAGCCATGTGCATGAGCGTGTTGTCACTTACTGGCCATTTGTCTGGGGAGAGCACCAGGTTCTCCAGCCCTCCGATTTCTTTCAGCTCCTGTTGGATTTTTGCACCTAAAGCATTGTCCTGTCGGGAGAAATTTCTGTAACCAAGAGCATCCCCTACCCCGGCCAGTACAAGCGCAGCCTTAAATTTATCCATCCTCGAGACACTTCTGCCTCTCCCAGCCACTGGATCTGGATCTTTCTTTGTTCCTTTGCCTTCAGCTCAGCTCCTCTGACACTTTATATCAGCCATTGTGTCACCCCACGAGTGCTCTCTATAAGGCAAGAGCTTCCTTTTCTGGCTCTGCAGATGCCATCCCCTGACTGGGACCCAATGGAGAGGAAATATTTCATAAGCTGGGGACTTTGCAGGGGCTTTGTTCAATGGAACTGCAGGAGCGCGTCCACAAAGCGAAGTGCAAAAACATCGTTTCTCCCACGCTGCACAAAGCAAGCCAGGAAATTCTGAGCCCTACCCAGTGCAAGTAATTCTACACCCAGAAAAACAGATGGCTTCACAAGGGTGTTTATTTATTTAATAACTTGCAAATTAATACATTTTCCTGCACTTTTCTGATAGGCTGTAGTCAGTCTCGCTTTCAGGGACTGATGGAGAAGCTGAAAGCCTGCAATAAAAGAGGTGCCCATTAATCAGGAATCACAAGAATGATGGCTTAGGTGACAAGAAAGCCCATCTGAAGTAACATGCACACTTCTAATTATGCTGCATAACAATATTTTGTCAGCAACTTTCTTGCTGTTCCACCAGGAGTGTTTAGTTAATTTACTGCACCCCTGGACAAGCACTGAACAAAATGCCAGCTTCAGTCCCAAGTGCTGCTGCCTGGCGAAGAATGACTTTTTCCTAAGGCAGAGCTTACATGCAGCCCACATTTGCACTCGTAAAGGAAACTATTTTAAAAGATGTATTTAAATGGCATCCTGTGAATCTCAGAAAGTTCATATATGGAGAAATCACACTTTGTAAGAACTGAGTTTTCTTAATGCCATCCTTCCAAAGTTGATGCTTGGAAAAGCACTTCATTCTGTTGTTGTAGTTTTTTTCTGTGCTGCTGCCAGGCAGTGTAAGAAAGGGCTCTGCAGTTTTGCAGCCTTCTGAACATATACTGCCCACAAATCCATCTACATAGGCTCAGCATCTTCCTTCAAGGGTCTATAGAGACCAACCTAAATTGTGGTTCCAAGGTTCATGCTGACCTACAGAATCACAAATTACTAGCACTTTACAGATTGAAATACAAGCAGTCTTGCAGAAAGCGTTGACTTGAATGCAATTGGCTTTACTGCAGTAAAGTCAATTTTTGATAGAGGATATCTGAGAGTTTTGTTTTCCTTTGATCTTTTATGAGAAGCAATCCTGATTGCTCCTTAGATGGAAAAGGGCAGTGTGCCGAGGATGCATCCTGCTACCTGCCAGAATGATAAGCAGTTAATCACAGACAGGATATTTGACATGAGTACGAATACTACTGTACTTCACACAAGAAACCTTAACATAGCTTCCAAGCACTTGGATGGAAAATAAACTTTGCCATCCTCGCTCTACATTCTAAGAAATAAGCAAAACCAGAGGAAGCAGCAACTTGTGTTTTAAAGATTAGGACACAGGTAACAGAAGTGCTGAGCTTTAAGGACACTACGAGTGTGTTTCTTTGGTAGGAAAGAACAATTCTGAACGGAAAAAGCACAGAGCAAAGGGCAGTTATGCCTTATGTCCCAGAGGAACCGCATAGGGCTTGAGGGCCATGAGCTGTGCAACATGGCTGGGCAGCCAGCTCCAGAGATGGCCAGCCACGGGCAACTGTTTGCATGTGATGCTCAGGGACATGGTTTAGCAGAGGGTTGTTAGAGTTAGGGTGGTATGGTTAGATGTGGTTGGACTCCATGATCTTTAAGGTCTTTTCCAACCTGAGAATTGATTCTATGATTCTATGGTGGTCTGAAAGAGAGCACTCAAATGGAAAATTCAGGCGAACACATCTTACAAAAAACCATTGGAGGCGTAGTAGCTGCCAGTCTGACATCTCAGGTCCCTGTAGCCTGCTGTGGCACGCCTTTGGCACTCCTACAGAATATTGTCATTTTAAAGCACATGGAAAGACTTGCAAACCAGCTGCTGAGGCAATGCGGAGGGCTAGGAGGGGCCTTATCAGATGAAAGGTTCCTTTCTGGAAATGGGCAAAGCTATTCTTAGTTTCCCATCTATCTCGTCCTCTTAAAAGTAGCTGGCAGTTTCAGTGCCCTTTTGCCTCCCATGGACTTTACACTGCTGCATGCACACTCGACTGCTCGTAACGTATCCCAAATTAGGAACAAAGCCCTTAGCTAATGGAAACAAGGCTAGATTGAAAACACAACAAAGAGCTGAGCTTTCGTTTAATTTGTAAACTGCACGTGATGTCCTTTAAATGTGCTACTTCCAGTCAACGGAGCATGAGCCGAGACAGCTGCCACCAACAGCCCCTCTGCATTTTGAGTAAAAGAAGACTACGGCGTGGGTGCCTGACCTGTGAGTCTGCCAGTCAGTAAGCTCAGTAGGAAATGCCCTGGATTCAAATTTCACCTATTCCAAGGATACAGAGCTGTACCCCAGAGAAGTACAGTTGATACCAGATAGGGCTTCTCAACAGTTCTGTTTTCTGCTCCAGCTCCTGCTTAGACTTGAACCTATTCACTAACCCTGGCGAGATGTATCAGAGATGCAATGTGACTACCAAAGGGAAGGGTTTCACTCTGGCATAGGGATCACATCTTTAAGAACGGTACTAGTTATAGAAGACACTGAGACCCAGGAAAAAAACAAGCAAAGCCTTTACTTGTTTAATTACTTGAGGGTGCATCATTTTTATGCTGCTTCACACCGCTGCCTTGAGAGAAAAATGTTCCTTTAATGCTGCAGCATAGACTTGATTCTTTTCTACCGCCTTGACAGAAAGCCTACAACATCACATGAAGCCTATAGGGTTTGTCTAACAACAAATGGCAGAGCACAGAGCATCTCATGCTTCTAAGAGGCACAAGAGAAAAAACACTGTGGATGTCAAGCAGCTACACAAGCCAATAAGAGGAAGCATCCTGATCACTTAATAATAATGGGAATATTCTTAAGCTTCTTCAGGTGTTTTCTCATTAAGAAGTGAACACTGTACCCACTGATCCGGAATTTGGCATCTTGTGTTTGTGAGTGTAGAGGTGGTTGCAGTCACAGATCTTTCTATCAATGGCTTACAACAAAAAAGCTGAGCATCACAGGTGTCTATCTCACCTTATTCTACCCAGGACACTCTTTACACACTTTACAATGCAAATGTCAGAAAGCATGCTTTGGTGAATACTTCCCCCCCCCCACAAAAAAAAAAAAACCAACACCAAGGTCTCATTATTTCAAAACATGACCTTTTTCCCTTTCAGAAGGGCTGTGCCTCTAGATGAGCCAGGTGCTGGGTTGGTGGAAGCTGAGGGAAGCTACAGGTTGGAAAAGTTTGCCATTTTTTGCCATGACTCATCAACAGTTTTGCTGTTACAGGAGAACACTTGTGGCATCGCAGAAGCTGGACAGACATGCTATGGGGAAAGCAGAGAGGACACCTATTTTGCTCCAAACTTTCAGAAGAGAATTAAGGACAGTTAAATACATACCTCTGAAGGTCTCTGCATAGATTGGCCTGCAGAGCTCAGAACCTAAGACTGAGCAAGACTTCCCCTCCAGTTACATCTCGTGGTTAGTACAAACTGAGGATGCAAATGGGAGAGTACAGTCGCTATTGGGCAGGCGTAGTGGATCCAGCACTGCAGCTAAACACAGCAAGCTGCTTAAAAGCTTAAAGGTGGCACAGATGAACAAAACAGGCAGACGTTTGCTTCCATTGTAACTGCTAAAAAAAGTCGACTTATACCCTTGCCCTCTTCTTCCCAGTGAAATAAAAATGCAGGAATCCAACAAACTAACTGAAACAAACCAAAATCCCACTGGTCCTTGCAAGGCTTCCAAAGCAGAAAGCTGACAAAACCATACAGAGATCCCACATGACCGACTTTGATCCCTTATGTTCCAAGTCCCTTTATTCCTTTTTCCATTGCCACAAAATTCACACACGTACAGCTCGTTTGGCAGCACAGCTCCCAGGTGCATTGCACAAATGGATGCCTGCGGGTGTGTTCTTCTTGGAATGACACACGTGATAAATTACATTTAAATTTAGAATTGGCAAGTACAAATCCTATGGCTCAGTTTCAAACGCTCTAGGATGTAAAACCAAACAACTTGGCAACAACTTTAACAAATACAAACAGCTTATCTAGGAACTAATATGGTATGCAGGGAACAACTTAAAGATTTCTGTACCATTTATAATTATAAATTGATCAGCCTATGCGCTACCAGTATACGAGCTAAAAAAACTAAGTCAGAGAGTATTTTAAGTGTAAGAGTGAACAGCAGCAAATACTAGAATTCAAAAGGAAGTCATCATCCGAAAGCAGTTTATTTGCATTTACTTTTATGATTGTTCAAGCTTGAACAATCCATACTTATTCCATATTTATGGGAAGGTAAAGTGCACAGGTGGTTTCAAGTGGGTAAAAAAGAAAAGTAAAAATCCTGCTACACTTTTACCCAGTCCTCTTCTGTTGCAAGGCTTAAGAGTGGCAAACAATAGTGTCTGTATGGAAATGGAACACTGTGCTGAGCACCTTCTTCCTTGGATTAAGTCAAAAAGCCTCAAGCCACATGCATTTGTTATGCTCCACTTATCCTGAAACGTAAAAGAGTCATCAGGTTGATTTGAGGGAGTTCTCAGCATGTTTCACAAGCTCTAGTGCTATGAAACTGTTTGATTACATAATACACCAATAGATTAAATAATTTCTGCTCTATTATACCTGTACATCCTAAGTGATATAGTGAACTGAAAGCACTCCATTGCTATTGGCTGGATAGAAGCAGTTGATGCCATTGGATGTAACATTTACTCTCCCAAGCCTACAGGACAGACACAGAAATTTCTAGTTGTGAGTAAGCCAAGTAGAAAAATCAAATGCATTACAAAGAGCGTCATACTGTTTTTAAATCTCTGTTGACTTGCATAGAATGCTGGAGTTATGTACACAAATCCCCTTCTAAGAAGAAAGTCAGAAAGTCAGAGTACGTGCTAACTAACAGGCTCATTTCCTGCACAATACAGGTAAGCGCCTGAAGACTCAGACACTGACATCTAGCGGCTGTCATGCAAGATCCAACATTTAGAAACTGCTTTGGGTGAGAAGATGAATACTAACCAACCAGTTGGGCATTTGCGACTTGCCTGCTATCTCCCTACACGTAGAAAATTGGTTAATTTTTAAGCCCTGCTTTTTAAAGATCATGCACAACTGAAGTTTTGTCAAGTAGAAGAATGAAGGTAAGCTCTCTGTATGCAGTATGTACATTTGTTCTTGTAGGCTTCACCGCCATACACGAAAGCTGACTGCTTATGTGAAACTAATATTTAGAGGTTTTTTTTAAAAAAGAAGACTTTAAGTTTTGTTAAGTTTTTATATCCTCACAATTACGGAATAAGATCATGCAATACTGAAGTTACCTGATGTGATCCAAATAGATCTGCTATATAACTTAATGCAAAATCTTCTCCAATTCTTCTGTTTCTATTTATGCAGCTCTGATTACAGCACACGTATTAATCATACCTGTAAATATTCTTTAGCAACTCCTTGCTTTAACAAACTTTGACAGAAGCTATGGCCACCTCTTTTTGATGAGGTAGTGTTTAGAAGAGCCCTGTGTAAAAAGCCTTGTGCTTAAGCATTGGAAGACATTGGGAAGAAGGATATTGACATTTATGCACTTTATAATAGATAGCTACTGAGAGGGGAGAAAAACACATTCAGATCCAATTCGACTAGCCTTGAGATCAGTGATGCTATTTTTTTTCCCCCCTCACATAAACATTATTGAATATACAAAATATCCAGAGACTATCATCATTAATGTGAAGTTTCTTTACTTCTAACTATTTCCAAAGTAGAAGCCAACTATTGAAGTGCCCAGGCGTATGCATGCCTACATTCTAGGAGATGTGTCAGGAATTGCATTCCCAAGTTGTTGAATCTTGCTAGAATTGATGATGTTTCAGGCTACAAGTTATATTCTACCAATCCATTATTTCAAATTAAAAAAATACGTAAAGACTAGCTGAATAATGATATCAAAGGTGAATTATAAAAGCATCTTTGGTTGCACAAAGTCAACTTTAAAATGGTTAACAAAAAGCTGAAGTCACAACACAGGACAGAGAAGCAGCTCCTTCTCAGCAACGCATGTGCAAGCACTTCAAGAACACAGTGATGAAGAAGTCAGCCTCAGTGGAAGATAAAAGGCTGGATGTGATCAATCTCTGTAGCTAAGGCTTACAAATATAAATACAAATATAAAATAGCATGTTTTTTACAATTCTCTATTAAGACATCCACAGAGCTAACTTTTATAAAAACACAACATACTGCATAAGTTTTATTTAGGGATTTAATTTATATACCACAAATACTGCCTTTAATATAGGTACAATATAATACAGTTCTGTTTATTTGACTGCTGGTGTTCACTTTGGATCATGAACTCAATGGCATGCTGTGCTGTCAAAACTTCAATAATAAAATGGCCTCTAGTTAAACTTCTCCAAAGTATAAAATCATGCAAAATCTACATCCTATATGATACAACCAGTACAATAATTGAAGCCAGTAGCCTGCAATCAGCCTGGACCATCTTCTGAGCTTGTTCACGAAACGTCCACAACTCAACCATCATTTTCGTTAGGCAGAAAGGAAGAATTTCCATTTTGTCTCTGGAATCTCACCATGACCACTGAAACCAGCAACAACGTGCACAGCTATCAGCCAACAAATCTTCATTACCTAATGCAGTTCAGACTGTGCATTTAGTCCACGTCGATGAGTCTGCAGTTAGGAAGTTTTACGCTTTCCTCCTGTGACTACTGGTCGTGCATATTCCACAAAATCATCTATAAGAACAGGCCATGCTCCTAAGGAGAAGGCATGCAGTTCAGAAATTAATTATTATTGGCAATAAGTTGACATAGTCTCTAAAAAGATTAAAAAAAAAAAAGACATACAGTTTTGCAGTTTGCAGTATCTCTGTAATGCAATACTGTGACACTTGTACCATAACAGTTTCAGATATTACCTGTAAAGATATTGTCACACCATGATATACCTTTCATCAACATATTATAACAAGTTTTTAATCTTTAATGTTTTGGCAACATCAATGGCACTGATGATGGAATCAAGTGCACCCTCAGCAAGTTTGCTGATGACACCAAGCTGAGTGGTGCAGTTGACACGGTGGAAGGAAGGGATGCCATTCACAGGGACCTCAACAGGCTTGAAAGGTGGGCCCAGGTGAACCTGATGAGGTTCAACACAGCAAAGTGCAAGGTTTTGCACTTGGGCCAGAGGAATCCTAGGTATCCATACAGACTGGAAGGAGCAGCCCTTGAGAGCAGCTCTGCGGAGAAGGACCGGGGGTTCCTGATGGATGAAAAGCTTAACATGAGCCAGCAGTGTGCTCCTGCAGCTCGGAAGGCAAATGGTATCCTGGGCTCCATCAGAAGAGGGATGACCAGCAGGGACAGGGAGGTGATTGTGCATCTCTGCTCCTGTGAGGCCCCATCTGGAGTACTGTGCCAGGTCTGGAGCCCCCAGTACAAGAAAGACAAGGAGCTGTTGGAGAGGGTCCAGAAAAGAGTCACGAAGATGGTCAGGGGACTGGAGCACCTGCCCTGTGAAGACAGGCTGAGGGAGCTGGGCTTGTTCAGCATGGAGAAAAGAAGGCTGTGGGGTGACCTCATTGCAGCCTTTCAGTACCTAAAGGGAGCCTACAAACAGGAGGGGAATCAACTCTTTGAAAGAGTACATAATGGGCAGGACAAAGGGAAATGGTTTGAAGTTGAGGGAGGGAAGATTTAGGTTGGATATCGGGGAAGTTCTTCACCAAGAGAGTGGTGAGGTGCTGGAACAGGCTGCCCACAGAGGCTGTGGATGCCCCGTCCCTGGAGGTGTTCAAGGCCAGGTTGGATGGGGCCCTGGGCAGCCTGGTCTAGTATTAAATGGGGAGGTTGGTGGCCCTGCGTGTGGCAGGGGGGCTGGAGATTCATGATCCTTGAAGTCCCTTCTAACCCAAACCACTGTATGATTCTATATTCTGTTTTATTTAAAGCAGTATTTCAATAATGTATCAATTTTTGATGATATTCAGACACTGTTTACCTTCTTCATCATAGTTGGACATATCATCTGCAATCATATTTCCAAAGTCTAACAGAAGATTCCAAGTATCTTTTGGAATTGATCTTTTATGATGTTCCTATAAAAGAAGAAGGTTTCTGTTCAATATAATCTATTTGTAAATTGCACAGAAGTATTTTATTTTGACATGCACAAAAACAGGTGGTTTACAATTATTTATTTTAATAAATTGAAACTACAAAATAAACTGCTACTAAGAAAGGTGGAAAAGAAAGCAAGCATGCACTTTGCACTTCCAGTTATGGATCTCATTGCCCAACCACTTCAACTTGAGCCCTTTCATCCTACCTTTACTTAGTCTGTCTTTTCAATACAGTTACAGTTGCACTTGCACCTGCCTTTCTCCTTTCACTCCCAGGCTACGTTCTGGATCCATAATCCCAGCCTTTAGTGAAGTAGCCTTCCAGTACCTCAAGGGGCCTACAGGAAAGCTGGAGAGGGACTTTTTATAAGGGCAGGTAGTGACAGGAGAAGAGGAAATGGTTTTAAACTGGAAGAGGGTAGATTCAGATTAGGTATGAGGAAGGAATTCTTTACTGTGAGGGTGGTGAAACACCGGGACAGGCTGCCAGTGAGGCTGTGGATGCTCCCGCCCTGGAAGCATTCAAGGCCAGGCTGGATGGGGCTTTGAGCAACCTGGTCTACAGAGTAATGTCCCTGCCTACAGCAAGGGGTTGGAACCAAGTGATCTTAAAAGGTCCCTTTCAATCCAAACCATTCTGTGATGATTCTATTCCTTCACGGTAGCGCCCATCTGCATTTGCTCCACTTGTTCTATTCTCCATTACCACATCTTTGCCCAATTTCTAGTATGTTTCCAGCGTGGCCAGTTTGAGCAGCATGCAGACAAGCTTCCGTTTTAGTCAGTGTTCTCTCAGCTTTTAGTCAGCCTTTGCATTCTCTTTCTTTCTTCCTCTCAATCCCCTTCAGAACCTTAACACCTTGCTCCACTTCCCCATACCAGCCCCAACTTGATCAACTGGATCAAGGATCTGGCCATAAGCAACCCTCCCTTCTCTTTCCATCCCTACTGTTCCACACCACAACCAGCCACACAATTCTGCAGAACAATCTGAGCAAGCTCTGGCACTTTTCTGACCCCCATGAGAAACCTCCTGATTAGCCCAGAGAAAGAAAAATGCAGTTTTATCTGAATGGTGTTTTCTACCAGCTTAGCAAACAGAAACAACTCAAAGGATGGTCAGTGAAGTGCCTCAATTACTCTAAAGGAAAGCAGCAAAAACACATGGTATGGAAGATACTGTGGAGAATCACAACATCTAAGCAATTGTGAGCTGTAGGATCAAGTAATGCAGCAGTATCAACAGATGAAATGAAGTCAGCAGGGGTGATTAACTGGAAATTCAATTTCATTCCTGAAACCTAGATCTGATTTGCAGCAGGAAATTGTAACTGTGTGTAAAAACAGGCTCGGTGGAATGGGTTTTTCTGTATTTTTTAATGCACTAATAATCAGCAGCACTAACAAACTGCATTTCTAAAAACCCAGAACTTGATCAAAATGAAGTTGACACCCAACACAACAGCAAACCAAATATTTTTTTTTCAGCCAAAATACAACAAGCAAACATTATCTCCTAGAAAAGGCTCCTTAAAAACAAACAAGCAAACTAAAATATAACACCATAAAGAATCCTTAGCTTGCTGCTATTTAGTTTTTTTTTTTGTTTGTTTGTTTGTTTTCTCCCCCCCATCCATGCATTTCTTCTTAAGTTTTGGTTCAGGTTAAATGTTTGTAGCAAAATAAGACAGTCTATAACAGAACATTAGTACTGCTAGCTCTGCAGAACTGTTTGTTGTAACAGATTTGATCACACTGAATGGAACTTTTTGCAGATATGTATATATATGTATTTACATGTTTTAAGATCTAAGTGTATTACGGCAGTTAATATGTAAAATATTTTCATAGATTCTCTCAATGAAGTTGATACATATAGTCAATGAAGAAAATATACTGCCCCAAAACGTTAGAAAAATAAATTAAGCAATTATTATGAAAAGTATACACTTGAAAAATATAGATAAAAGTACAGAAGAAACTTTTTATTCTCCTGAACTACTGATAAAAATCAAATTGAAAAGTCCAAGTAAATTAAACATTTTTTGCAAGTACATAGAAATGGAACATGGATGAATAGATCACTTCTTTATTAAGAACATTTTGTAATTTCTAAAGTTTAATTTATACATCTTTACTCCACTGCCCACAGAACTGCACTGATAATTCAAAGTTGTCAAGATCAGTTCACAGCTATTACCCAAAGTGAGTCAAAATAATTACTCTGAGAAAGAACTTCTGCTAAAAAAGTTGCCTCTCAGGTTAAGTCAGTCATAACAGAATTGACTTTAAAAAAAACACAACCAACCAAAAAACAGTTTATGCATTAATACCACTAACGGCAGAGCATGGCACAAATATGTGGCTAACAGCAATCACAGCTGTCTTGAGAATAAAGACAACATCAGTTCAATCTGCAATTATGGCCTCATTTCATGCAGAAGTTATTGTAAGTAGGAGGATACAAGATTAAGCCAGTAGAATGCACTATTGCTTTGCTACATCTTTTTTGCTTTCTTCTCCACTGGAAAGTTACATGAAGAAGATTTATTTTGGCTTGGTCTAAGACTCTCTTATATCAGCTTACAAAAAGGAGGAACTTTAGAAGGAGGCATTTAGAAAGTCTGTCTCTTTATTGTGAGCACAGTACCACCCACATGAGCCAAACTACTGCGGACTACAACAGTCAGAGATGAAGAGACTGTGTACTTACCAACAAGAATTTATTCCAAAGATCTAGAAATTTAAACCTTCCTGACAAGACTAAATTCCAGTATGCAATTGCCATTTCTAGATCTGCAAGACAGAAAGCAAAACCATCAAACGTTACATTACATTGTAAGCAATAGCTCTGTTACAATTAAACAATGCCACATCCAATACATTATGGTATAAATGAATTATTCTTCTAAAATTTTTAGAGCTGACAGAAGAAAAAGGTGCTTACTGACCCGAAAGGCAGAAAGTGAGAGATGGTGGTAAAAATTGCATATTGAACATTACAGTCCTAAAGATTGAAGTCTTTCCATTATTGCCCAGCAGTGCTGGGTTAAAGATGCAATTAAGCTCTAGCAAGAACACACACCTGTTATCAGTAAATCTGTCCACAGACTCAAAGCAAAAAAGAGGCACATATTGACAGCAACCCAAACACTGAAGTTTGCAGGTGCCAATTACTGTACGTTTATCACATTTTAGATATGCATGGCTGGAATGGGATTTTAAAGACAAGAGGGAGTGGAAAAAACTATTTCTCTGGGCCTAATAATATTACAGCAGCCCTTACAGCAATACAATTTTCTTCTTCCAGAACCATTTATCAGAAGAACACCTAGAACCAAAGCTGAAAACTTAAGTCCATAAAGCACATCCTACTCTACACCACAATCTAACAGCAGGGCTCAGTTTATGCATACCACCAGGAGGCTGCAGCACTGCCACATGTTCAAGTGGAAAAGGGGGAGCAATATTAGATGCAGGATAAGGGTAGAAAAAGAATTTCTTGAAGGCTGGTTTCATTCTCAGCAACAGTACCTAACAGCTTCTGCTCAGTCTCACAGATAACACTGTCATGGATTCACACGTCGTCATGCAACCACAAAAGGCACATCCTTTCTCAAACCACAAAATGCTTTCGATTGGTGCTTTTAGTGTAGGTTAAGTATAAACCAAATATGAAACTTAACAGAAAAGACTATGGTAGTAGCAGATGCAAAGGAAGCCAGGCCTGCCTTTAAGAGGGGAGTGTGGTATTTGGAACTGCACATGTCTTATGACAAAGCAAAAGCCAGTGTCACCTGGCTTCGTACCTGAAAGAGAAGTTCCAGATTTCAACACAGCCAGTTTTCTAGAGCCTGTTTCATAGAGAGCGGAGCCCAGACTAAGATGATAGAAATTTTAAATTAATTATTTGTATCTGTTATTCCAAATGAAAACCGAAAGGAACGGGAAGGGAGAAACTCAAATAATCTTATGAGTTCCTAAACTACACTGTGAAATGTCTGGCTTTGATTCCATTCACTCAGGCTTCATTATGTAGACTCAACTTTTCCAAGCTGATTTTGTAAGCACTGGCAAGCATCAAGCAAAATGTACTTTGATGAAAAAACAGTTTCATAGCACAAGAGTTTACATACTTCTGATGAAATATTCCTTGAAAAATGGAAGAATGTACAGGCAAAGAAGCAAAGCTAGTCAGAGGTGATACCAAAAAAAAAAAAAAAGTAAGGAAAGAGGAGGCCATGAACCGATGCAAATCACAGAATCACAGAATGTCCTGGTTGGAAGGGACCTCAAGGATGATGAATCTCCAACCCCCTGCCACATGCAGGGCCACCAACCTCCACATTTAATGCTAGACCAGGCTGCCCAGGGCCCCATCCAACCTGGACCTGAACACCTCCAGGGACGGGGCATCCACAACCTCTCTGGGCAGCCTGTTCCAGCACCTCACCACTCACCTGTAAAAAACTTAAAGAGATATTAGAACAAATGGCAGTGGTGCTAGTTTAGGCACCAATTTTAAAAGCAGCTGGAAGAAACCAGGCCTTCAGATTCTGTTATAGGATTCAGTTCCTCATCAGGCTGCTGACAGTAGTATCGATAAACTCTAATGCTGAGGAGTTCCTTTATTTGCTACAGTGAGCACAGCTCTATAAAATTAAAGCAGAAACAAATAAGAAAGGGAAAAAAGCCTTCACATAACCACTGGCTGGTTGATGCTGGCAGTGTTCTGTGGGTCCCTCAGGCCCACCCCAGCTCCAGCAGGGCACCCAGAGCAGGGTGCCCAGGGCTGTGGACAGGCAGTGCTGAGATCCCCAGGGAAAAGACCTCACAGCCTCTCTGGCCTCATGCCATGAATTCTGCATCCCACAGAAAGATGCTTTTGCAAGATGGGAATTTCTTATGCAGTCTTAAGAATATGTATCTCAGTGTTGCACAGTTATGAAAGCAACAATTATAAAAGACAAAAAAAAAATTGTAATTATGCTGGTTTTGTACAAAAAACAGTGTATGAGTTTTAGAATTGGAAATGAAAAGACAGCTGCATGAACCTATGGAAACTAAGATCTAAGCAAGGACCAGAGATACCAAACTAGCACAACTTGTGGAGAAGGAGAAAGAACATTACTAGTTGGACAGCCTGTATCTACTTTCAAGATTTGACCAAATGCCTATTCTGTTCACAAAAATGTTCATGATTAGATTTCTGAATTAAAAAAAATAAAATTAGACCAAGTTCTTTATTCTTTTGCTCTGATTTCAGATATGGGGAATGAAGTCACTGTGCACACGAGTAATCAAGGAAGCAAGAAAACAGATAAATCATCAGATTGCAAGGAAATGATTGGAGAGCAGGATTTATGAGGGACATGAAATTAAGTTCATTTAGACCTGCTGTGCCAAAACAGCACTCTGGGATTGCAGCACTCACTTGTCATCCCTCTGCCAAATAGAGATTTCCAGCTCTCTCAGACAGCACTACCAACAGAGCTGTTTATGCAGTTATGTTTGAAGCTGTCAGAATACAATAACCAATTCATTTAAATTACTGACATGAGAGGAAAAAATAGGCAGAAAACAAAATAGCTAATTTGGAGGCCAGTATAAAAAAAAGATTTATAAGAATCTTCAATATTAGGCATGGTTGCTCATAAAATCTGTAACTGGCACACTATTTTCTGTGCATTATGACAGTATAATCTACCATGTATGAGAGATTGGAAACAAATCATTATCTTCTTATCAATGTTATAAAGCTTTTCTAGGTTACTCTAGTCATCTTTGTGAAAGACTATGAGCAGCCTGTAAAGAGCCCCATGCCCAGTATTCAGAGTACTCAACTAACTGCATGGGCAGGACTTTTTGTAATAGGAAGAATCTGGTAGGGTTACCCCACTTTCAGATGCAAAAGAGAAAATTAGCTAAGAATGTAACAAAGATAGTGGGAGGAAAGAGTTGCTTTTATTAGATAAGTTAATAAAGATTAAAGAACAAATAAACAAGAAAAAAAACCTGAGGAGTCTGAAATGAAAATTTCAGAGCGAAGAGTTCCTTCACTTGAGATTTTCTCTCCTCACTGCTTTAACCAAATCTTATTCTACAACTCTGAAAACAAGAGTATCCAAGAAGCTCTAATTTTTTATGCTATGTTAGGTACAGTAATCTGGACAAAAGCAAGACAAATCTATTTCATCATTCAACTGCCTATAATAAATATTATATTAAACCTTTATGAGAGACTGAACTTCATCATGTAATTTGCCCTAAGAGATCATTGGGTTAATATCTTTGATCTCTTTCCTCATGTTTCCTTACTGTGGTCACAGGAAAAAAAAAAACAACAACAAAAAAAATCATATCTATAAAGCTAAAACAAAACCTGCATTGCACAAATAATTATTTTCTTTCAATAAAATTCCTGGGCACTGTGTAAAAAAAAAAAAATAATAATACAAAAAAACCCCAAACCAACTGGTGCATATGTAGAAATGGTGGAAACAAGTGTGAATCTAAAGAATTAAACTATCATACTATCCTCACCAAAAAACCATCAGATGAATATTTGCAAGATTCAGTGAGTTACTTGATTCCTTGCCTCTGAATGATTTTAAGTCTTCTTGGGCCTCCAAATTACTGATGTGGACACAAAAATAGTTTATTTCCTAATTATAGCATTTTTCTTTTACAAACAAGTAAAATCTACATAGAATAGCAAGAAAACACCATTAGGATTCAACCTGGAAACCCCTCAGCAAATTGCCAAATGTTTAGAGCAAAACAACCCTTATCTATAATTAGGAGCACTCTCATAGAAGAAAGAGAGGAGGGGAGAAGCAGAGGAGTATGAAGCAAACACTGGAATTGGCTTAACTCAGGATCCAGCTGAGTTGTAGCCATTTATCTCTGGCAAAACCATTAGCCAGGAGCTCCCCAGTGCTGTGCTTGAGGACACAATGCACAGCATCAGAATTAAGTCTCTGGTGGACGGGGAGGCATGGTGAATCACAGTATGTGGACTTCAGAAGATCTCTGCAGAAATCAGAGGGTCTGGCTGCTTATTAACTCTATCTCAGTATCAGCCATGCTGAAGCAGACTGATTCCATGAGGAACCTTTCGTGCTCATCTCGAGCATCAATTGTACAAAAGCAGACAAACTGCTTCTAAATGTGAGCCAGGCTTAGAAGAAGATAACTATCGAAATGTCAGTTTGAGTGCAGGATAATAAATCTGATTATAGCCAGTCTTACCAGCCTTCTGTCTTTCCAAATCTCTCCACGTGCAGTTCAAACAATCAGTAAGTGATGACTTAGAGTTGTCTGGATATACTTATCCTAATTAAGAGCCAAATCTGAGTAAAATAATCAACAAGGCATTACTATAACTGGAAGTTATACCTCATCTTTGGTGCCACTATAAGTCTTTTTTATCAGAGCACCATGTCCTATACTAAATTTCTCTGAAATAGCAGGTGTTGTCAGAATGAAAAACAAACAAAAGTAGAACAAAGACCATACAGACAGACCAAGGCTATTCAAACACCTAAAATACAGTATTTGCAGACCTCTTCCAAAATAAACACGAAATTAATTTGTTGAATTCCCTCATTTGCTTCATCTACTCACTCTTACAAGCACTCTACAAATGGATCAATCTAATTCTTCATAGAAAGTGAAGGAAACGTTGATAACTAGCAAGAAAGAAAATGATATCCCCGTCTAACGGCTAAGCTTCTCTAAAGACTCTCAAACTTGAGATAATGCTATGATGAAAGCTAAAGATGACGCTGCTTCAA